AAAAGCAGATTATCGACTTTTCGTGAAGATATATTGAATTCTGGGGAAATATTACCTAATTTTGCGAAGTAGATTATCATAGAAAAACGGAAATTGTATCATAAAAAATGGAAATATCTACTTCCAGAAAGTTATATCCATTTTCCCGAAAAATAAATCATTCACTTTTCCGGAAAGTAGATTATCGACTCTTCAAGTAGATTAAATTTGGAAATATTACCCAATTTTGCCAAGCAGATTATCACAGAAAACGAAATTTGTATCATAAAAAAATGGGAAATATCTACTTTCCGAAAGTTGTTATTCATTTTCCCGAAAAGTAGATAGATTTTCTACTTTTCGGGAAAGCGATTATCGACTTTGGGGAAGCAGATTTTCGAATTTTGGGGAAAAATATACCTAATTTTATGAAGTAGATTATCAGAAAACGGGAAATTTGTATCATAAAAATGGGAAAATATCTACTTTCCGAAAGTTGGAGTTATCTACTTTCTCCCGAAAAGTAGATTTTCTACTTTTCGAAAGTAGATTATCGACTTTTGGGGAACTAGATTTTCGGATTTTTGGGGAAATATTACCTAATTTTGCCAAGCAGATTATCATAGAAAATTGAAAATTTGAACATACAAATGGGGAAATATCTACTTTCCGGGGAAGATGGTTATCTACTTCTTTCCCGAAAAAGTAGATAGATTTTCTACTTTTCGGGAAAGTAGATTATCGACTTTTCGGGGAAGTAGATTTTCGAATTTTGGGGAAAAAGTACCACTTTTGCAAAGCAGATTATCAAGCGGAAATTTGTATCATAAAAAAAATGGGAAATATCTACTTTCCGAAAGTTGGTTATTCATTTTCCCGAAAAGTAGATAGATTTTCTACTGGGAAAGTAGATTATCGACTTTTCGGGGAAGTAGATTTTCGAATTTTGGGGAAGACACTAATTTGCCAAGCAGATTATCACAGAAAACGTGAAATTTGTATCATAAAAAATGAAACATCTACTTTCCGAAAGTTGGTTATTTTATTTCCCGAAAAGTAGATAGATTTTTCTACTTTTCGGGAAAGTAGATTATCGACCTTTTTCGGGGAAGTAGGGATTTCGAATTTTGGGGAAATATAACCCAATTCTTGCAAAGTAGATTTACTGGCAGAAAACGGGAAATTTGTATCATAAAAAATGGGAAATATCTACTTTCCGAAAGAGTTATCTACTTTCCCGAAAAGTAGATAGATTTTCTACTTTTCGGGAAAGTAGATTATCGACTTTTCGGGGAAGTAGATTGAATTTTGGGGAAATATTACCTAATTTTGCGTAGTAGATTATCATAGAAAACGCAAAATTTGTGAATACAAAAAATGGAAATATCTACTTTCCGAAAGTTGGTTATCTGATTTCCTGAAAAGTAGATAGATTTTTCTACTTTTCGTGAAAGTAGATTATCGACTTTTTGGGGAAGTAGATTTTAGAATTTTGGGGAAATATTACCTAATTTTGCGAAGTAGATTATCATAGAAAACGGAAAATTTTGTATCATAAAAAAAATGGGAAATATTTTACTTTCCGGGAGGCTGGTTATCTACTTTCCCGAAAGTAGATTATCTACTTTTCAAGTAGATTATCGACTTTTTCCGGAAGTAGATTTTCGAATTTTGGGGTAATATTACCTAATTTTGCCAAGTAGATTATCATAGAAAAACGGGAAATTTGTATCATAAAAATGTAAACATCTACTTCCGAAGCGGGTTACCCATTTCTTCCGAAAAGTAGATAGATTTTTCTACTTTTCGGGAAAGTAGATTATCGACTTGGGGAAGTAGATTTTCGAATTTTGGGGAAAATATTACCTAATTTTGCGAAGCATTATCACAGAAAACGGGAAATTTGTATCATAAAAAATGGGAAATATCTACTTCCGAAAGTTGGTTATTCATTTTCCCGAAAAGCGGAGGATTTTTCTACTTTTCGGGAAAGTAGATTATCGACTTTTTGGGGAACCAGATTTTCGATTTTGGGGAAACATTACCCAATTTTGCCAAGTAGATCATCATAGAAAACGGAAATTTAGGCCTGCTACAAATGGGAAATATCTACTTTCCGGGAAAGATGAGTTCACTTTCCCGAAAAAGTAGATAGATTTTTCTACTTTTCGGGAAAGTAGATTATCGACCTTTTCGGGGAAGTAGATTTTCGAATTTTGGGGAAAAAGCACTAATTTTCCAAAGTAGATTATCACAGAAAACGGAAATTTACTCACAAAAAATGGGAAATATCTACTCTTCCGAAAGTTGGTTATTTATTTCTCGAAAAGTAGATAGATTTTTCACTTTTTCGGGAAAGTAGATTATCGACTTTCGGGGAAGTAGATTTTCGAATTTTAAAATATTACCTAATTTTACAAGCAGATTTATCATAGAAAAACGGAAATTTGTATCATAAAAATGGAAATATTCACTTCTCTCGAAAGTTGGAGTTATTCACTTTCCTCATGAAAAGTAGATAGATTTTCTACTTTTTCGGGAAAGAGATAAATCAACTTTTCAGGAAGTAGATTTTCGAATTTTGGGGGGAAAATATTACCTAACTTTGCGAAGTAGATTATCATAGAAAACGGAAATTTGTA